TACCGATAAAAGTGGTCAGACTCTGGACAGACGCAGTATACCTGAGGCCTCCGAAAGAACGTAAAACTCTGGGCATTGTCTTTTTTTCCTCGCAAGACAAGCCTGGAAAAGCCCACGAAAACAATGTATTTTTCCTAAGTAAACGTCAAGACTCTGGCATCCGGAGCACGCCTTTGACTGGTACGTTTACCGCGTCATCAAAAGTCGACCCTCGCTTTCTGTCGGATGCCGTCATAAAAGTGTGATGCTAGTGTGCCCACATTTCACTGTTTCCAACTGCTCGATCATGGTCCCGTTTGTTCACGGGCAGCGTTTGCAGCAAAGGCTCTGAGGAAGTGTCCAAAGCGTTGATCGTCATCAAGTGACTCCGCCTTCCCTCCTCGCCACGCGACAACGCAACGGATACGCACTTGCGGCCAATCTGCCCGGAAGGTGTCCGCCATTAAATTCCCAACGCTCTCCACCGTTTGAGTACAGGACTCTCTTACATATATAAGCTCTATTATACACAAGGCGGACGTGGCGCCACCTTTCGGCGTCTCCTTGCAACCAGGCATTGGCTCTACGATGTCACATAGGTCAGGGCAGAACAGAGCTCAGGAAGGCTTTACTAAAACCTATTCGGCCCTTTTTCTTTTAATGCGAAAGCATTAACTGGTCCCACGGAGCGAGCCGACGTCATCAGCTTTGAAGCCGCGCCACCAAGTGTAGCCAGCTCCCAGCTATGAAACCACGCGAAAAGCCTAGCCAAACGGCACTTAGTTTCCACGATCCCAAAGGAGCGGAGTAAAGCTGATGGATTTCGGCTTCAGTCCCACTGGCTGGCGCGCGTCGACGAAGCTCCCATTGGCCGCTGCGCGTCAATTTCAGCGACCGCCACCCCATGGCGCTGCGTGTCCGCGAGGCAGCGGCTCCACCGCTCCACGCCCAAGGTCAGCGCGCCGAGGACAGCGCGCGCGCTGGACCGTCGACGCAAGTACGCCGCAGACGAAAGAAGGAAGCGGAAGAGCGGCGTGCATGCTTTCGCATTCACAACTCCTAAGAAGTGCTAGGGTGTACCTCGAGCCTTTTTGTTTCTTTCTGGCTACCAGAAAGCGAGCTTCGCTTTTATTTATCTTTCCAGGGACTTAGACGCCACGCCAAAGCTGCGACCGCGTCGCACCGGACTTCTAATCCTGGTGTAGCTCAATAAACGTCTTAACAACAACAACAACATATATCTTTCACGCGAGCACTTTCAAAAAAAATATCGTGATAATATAGGATCGGTCAGAACACTCGCTCACTCTAGTTTTAAAGCCCCCTGGGTCGAGGTGAGAGCGAGATCGTTCTCGGCTGCCGATTGGATGCGGTGCCACATCTTCCGCGCAACCAACCAACGAGAGAATTGGGACTCGATTGTGAGTTCACAATCGGGCAATATTTTTGACGACAATGACTCGCCAACATACAAGCAGCAAGAGAGACCTCGCGGCCTTCGATGTGCTTGTCCTTAGTTCTCCTTTGCCCCCGGTCGATGACAGCTTGTGTACGGCAGAAGAACTTGAGACTTGTAAACGAAGCGCAGGTTTTCAGTGGCTCCCAACGTGAGATAGCAGACGATCACAATTTCCATCCTGCATCCAATCTCACTTCACCGCGGCTCTCGGTTCATAGCAGACCATATTAACTTTTTTTTCCTTCTCTGTTGGCAGATAACGTAAGAAACTTTCTTGTTTATTTCCGTCTGTGAATGACACTTCGTAGCAGACGAGCTGCGTTCTTCGCACGCATTATAGTAGACGAACTGTCTAGAGGTTATCTTCGCTCGCTACGCGAGAGGCGAATTAGATCTCGCTCTCGCGGTCACCAAAATCGAACCCCTAGCGTGGTAACTTATTTTAATGAGCTTTGCTGGAACGTAAAGTGCAACATAGCTGCAGCTGCAACATTAACAACAGCAAAAGACGCCATACAGACCCCCCTGTCTGAAAGCTGAACTCGAAAAGGAGCCACCTGGAAGCTTCGGAGTTTCAGTCGAAGTTTCGCAAGACCCAGCTTCCTCAAGGTACCAGAAGCTAGCCCTGTTCGCAAAACGTCGGCTGAAACACTGAGGCTTCAAAGAGCTTCCTTCTCAAGTTATTAACGGCTTTGACCACCTTGATGTGCTGTTAAGCCTCGTTGTCACTCTAAGTTGACTGTGCGTTAGAAGCCACACGTGCTCGTTGAACCAGTATTACGTTTATCTTTCTAAGGTAGATACTTGGCCGATTTGGTGATTCATAGTACTATTCATAGCAACAGAAAAAGACAAAGACACGGCAGGGAGACACACCAAAGAAACAAAAGGAAATCAGTTAGGATGCATGTCAGCGCCCTTTGTTTGGTCTCTTGTGCGCCCCCGTGTTGTGTTTTTGCCTTTTGCGCGGTTGCTTCCGTCTATCTTTCGCCACGTGACCTGACTCCCACTCACACCCAGGCGCAGAAAGCGGGGGCCAAATGACGTAAGGAAGGCGTTTGATTGGTCTCGCAAGCGCTCCCACTGCACTTTCAGCTGAGGAGCGAACCGAGTTTGCTTTTTCCAGCAAGCTTCGGCGCATGCGTACGCCCTCCACTGGCTGGCTTTCCATGGTCGCAATTTCGGAAAGCACCGTCTCGCACGATCAGCATTATCAGGACCGATCTTCGCGTGCATGTCGTGTTTCTTTTACGATTTTTTTAACACGTGTAGTACGTGGCATAAAATGCGATGAAAACCAATAAAATATGGCACGACGTTAATGTGTTCTGACGGGCGGAGACATGCGGGGCTGCTCTTCATTTGTAAGCAGCAGACAACTCCATTGAGGGCGCTCGTTATTCGAAAGAAGTAAACGCCCTACTGAAAATAACCCTTCAGTCCTGATACATTACTAGACCATCTCAGCCCTTCAAACTCCTTCAGCCCTTCAAACTCCTTCAGCCCTTCAAACTCCTTCAGCCCTTCAAACTCCTTCAGCCCTTCAAACTCCTTCAGCCCTTCAAACTCCTTCAGCCCTTCAAACCCCTTCAGCCCTTCAAACCCCTTCAGCCCTTCAAACCCCTTCAGCCCTTCAAACTCCTTCAGCCCTTCAAACTCCTTCAGCCCTTCAAACTCCTTCAGCCCTTCAAACTCCTTCAGCCCTTCAAACCCCTTCAGCCCTTCAAACCCCTTCAGCCCTTCGAACCCCTTCAGCCCTTCGAACCCTTCAGCCCTTCAGTCCATCAGACTCCTTCAGCACTTCAACCCTCACATGCCTGTATGACAACCATGGGCCAAAATGCAGTTTAAAACGTTATTGGGAGTTTATTTTAGACACTTGAGTATTTAAAGGAATGTTGTAACTCAAAAAGACGAAAAGAACCAACGTGTACTCGAACCAGGGCGCAAGCAGCTTAGACAAAAGCGATCACAACATATTTCCAGAGGTTCTCAAAATGTTGTTGGATAAATTCCCGAGATGTGTTGTAGTTAAAACTAATAAAACAGAGCAGGTGCACCACACGAACACATATAAATGCACACTGTCAGTGGCACGTTTAGCGACAACCACGAACGCAAAACTAATGTCCGCTGCTGTTGACGAAATCATGAGCACGTCACGGTGTCGTCCCTGGTACGTCGCGGTGGTGTCTTCGTTTTTTTTCACACGCTGGATGAGCTTCTGAAGCCGGACAGACCAAGAGGCGCAAGAAACAGGGCACTGTGAAGCCTCCTCCCTTATTTGCACGCTGAACTGCTCTAGAAGACAGGTCCCACTCGTGAGAAGGGAATCCAACACTGAGCGTCCGCTCGTTGCGGCGGCCCGATACAAAATGGCTAAATGTCTTGCCAGACATATATCCAGAACGGACACGTGATCTCTCCCAGAAACCCGCTCAACGATTTTTATGGGTCACGTGCTTTCTCTGAAAAAATTGTGAATGACCCAACAGGCCACAAGCAACTCCGACGGGTTTCTTACACTTTGTAAAAATTTTTGAAGGATACGTGAATCCCCTTAGAAAACTTCGACAAACATATTAAACTCGTAAAAAAATTGAAGGGTACATCAAAACCTTGTGAAAATTCTGGTGGGCCCTATAGATAGTATTTCAATAGGGCGTGAAGCGACAATTTTGTCAAGGGGCTTTAGAAAATGTCCATTAGCAATTTTCATCGCATGCTTTCAAGCCTGCTTTTACGGCTTCAATTTTAGGCCGGCGGGGGTTGCGATATTTTTTATTCGCCCGAGAAAGCTGCCGAGCGAACTTACCGCGACATCTTAACGCTCCTAGCCACCGTTGATTTCGCACAAGTCGCCAATGGCGTTAAGACCTTAATACTCTAATACTTTGATTATTTAGTGTGAACGTATCCTAAAAAAGATATTTATGGTGGATTTTATATTAGTTATATTGAATGCATATTCTCTGTTATTGAGTTGTATTACACAACCCAAGCTACAGAGTTGCATAACCCACATATTTATAAGCATTGTTTAATGGTGTTTCGCTATCTTCAATTGACATGTTTAAGTCTAAGTTATTTTAAAAACTTGGTGTATGGCGCCAAAAGTGACTTAGGATATCTGGACTTTTTCATTTGTTCCGTATTTATTTGTGTACAGTGTTAGTGTCTGATTTGTGTGCTCGTCTGTTTTGTTTTGTCTATGCTGTGACACACCAATGGGAAGGCATGTTGGTGTTGGTTGGCATCATTAAATAAACAGACAAACGTAACGGCGTCATTGAGCAAGCGTCGACATCTCGAATGGGCAATCCTTTTTCTGTGCACCATAATTCTGACAATTTCGCGGTTCATGAGCACACAAAACAAGTATAAGATAATGATGATAATGATAGTAGATTGCTGGAAAATCCTCCGAGCAGGCAAGATTTATCCGGAAAGTTTGTGCTCCAGTCGACACGCTTGCCATTCTCGAAAGACTTAAGCAGACTTTGGGTTAACCTTATAATTACACAAAAGGCAAGGGACAGGAGGCAGGCGAACGAGCACTCACGTAGTTGTCCACGAGGTCCGGGTGGTCTTTTTCGAGTCCGTCGTCGAGGATGGTCACCACCACGCCCCGGCCTGTGATGTTGCGCTGCCAGACCCGCTGCACGTTCATGTCCAGCGCTTTGCCGCGGTTCTGCATGCAAAGAGGAGAGAAACAAACACTTATACACCGTAATAAAAAAAACGCACAAATCAAAGAAAAAGAAAAGATTGACGAAACACAAGAGAAATGAACCGATTTCGGTTAGATGAAGAACAAATCTATAGGGAGTATTCACTGGCGGCCATAGCTGTGTGCGCTAATGCTGAGCGCGTGCTGATGGCGCGCTTCCACAGTTCTTTTGCAAGGTGCATTCCGCACCATCAAAAGTGCCGGTCTTAGCAGCCTATTGATGTGAGCTCGTTCTGAGCATGCGCTCTAAACAGCACCCACAAATATGGCGTCTAGCGAATACTCCCTATAGACCAATATGTGTCTACAAACAAACCGGAGCGACCCTAGCGGCACGCCCCCGGCGCCGCGCATGCGCGATGGGGTCTGGGCAAAAAGTACGCAAACCACTGGACTGCGATGTTGTCGGCGTGAGTCCCCGCGCCTCTTTGCTTTTTGCTATGGAACTGTTCATTTTACGTCTTCATATTCGCGACTCCAGCGAACTATAGGGGGCGAGCTGGTCAGGCAAAATGGCGGACGAAAGGAGGTCATTTCCGTCATTCAGCACGCGGACCACCATAAATGTCTTGCACTGTAGCGTAAAATCGGTGCTATCTATGAAAACAAAGGCGAGTTTTCGACGGCAAAAGCCTTCTCTAGTCAGTGCGTAGGAATGACACGGAATGACAGTACAATAATAGTAAATTTAGGGGTGATTGAATCGTTATAGGACAGTTGTTTGCTGAAAACTAGGTCGGTTGAGGAGATCTGCCTCTAAAAACCTCGATGAAAGCAGAACGACTCGCGCTCATAAAAATACTAGGGAGTTTTCGTAGATCGTCTTCGCAGTCCCGCAACGCCCTCCGCAACCCGCCACGATACCCGGAACTCTACAGTCAAGGCCATCGGCGAGCAGGCGCAGTAGCGGCTTCTTCGTTGCGGACGGCGTAGCGGAGGGGGAAACGCGGTCTACGAAAACTCCCTGATTACCAGCTCAACGAGATACACTCGTTGAGCACGCCGCAAACGCCGGCGGCCATGTCTGCTATCGTTTGAAGCCGAAGCGGAAAGGCAATCTCGGGATATTTTTAAAAACAAAATCACTCCGTCTAGATTATTTGTTTCTCAAACATAAAAATGTCGTCGTTATAAATACTATTACGGCACGGATAAACAACTAACAACGAACATTTTACACGTCAATCACCTCTCGAACCAATGAGAGCCAAGAAAAGGGGCTTAGTTTTGTAAGCACCCCCCCCCCCCTAAATTGCGTCTAACAGCTTAATTATCGGGCCATTTCTTTTTTCTTCGTAAAGAAATTTACAAAAACAAATTATTTTATTTCAGTGTTTGTTTAAGCTGTGACACGATTGCAAGAGAGGCTCCTGCGCTCTGCCATTTTCGGCGATGGTGGCGCTGCGTAACGTTGCCGCCATGTTGGGGTGAGCGAGGACAAGATGGCGGCGTCTGCTGCATCGCCGATGGCCAGCATCAGCGACGCACTTAGCATTTCGGAACGCAGGAGGAGGTACCCACACAGAATCCTTATAGCATCAAATATTGTAGAAGGGGGCATGTTTAAGCGTTGGGAATCACCTTACACAATCACAGCCTCTGTTCTAGCACGTCGCGACTGGCGAGTGCCAGAGCTGCCGCGAGCGCAGCCATCGTTGATGCAATGGCCATGCGGTTTCTGTCGCATTCTGATAAGCGCTTTGAGACTTTTGATACTTTTATAATTTTTTTCGATTTGTTACTGGTTTAGGTATTTTATTGAATTGGTTGTGTTCTTTCGTGGTCGAAGGCAACACCTGTATGTTTTAGAAAAAAATGATTTAGTGTCTTTCTGCGCTGAGTGGTGTATGCTTCAGTAAGAGACGTTTGGCAACATTCTGCGATAAGCCGCGAACGTCCTGGCTGCAGAAAAGTAGGTCCGCCTCACCTCGGCGCGCGATTCGAGGTTGAGCCAGGACCCCCTGGCTCAAATTTATTTTATTTTATTTTATTGGAGATTGAGTCAGGACCCCCTGGCTTTATTTTTTATTTTATTTTTTGTGCAAAAGAAAGAATTTATAGATCTATTGTTTGCTTAAAAACACAAGCCGTCTCTGGCAACCCAGGAGACTTTCGGTCGCTCCGTTTCGGCAGGCCTTTCGAGCTTCTCTATGTCTAACTTCCTGGAACGATGAAGTTCTAGAGAAATCACGAGCATAGTTATTTAGCGAGGTCCTTCTGCCGTGCTACTCAGCAAATAAGGGGGGATTGATCGGCTTACGGGAGTACTGAAGAAAATATCCAACAAGTACCTCGCTAACCGGATCTTCAGCTAACCACCTGGGGCCCTAAGCTCGTCAAACACAAAGTTGGAGCCAAAAGTTTGCGCAGCGCACCCATTGGACGACGGCGAAAAAAGTGCGGAGTCATCGCCGGGATAGGTCAATCGGTGCGCTCCGTCCACTTCGGCCCCAACTTTGTGTTTGACAAGTTTAGAGGCCCCGGAGAACTGGTCATAAAATATTTTATGAACATTACAAGACGCAGTACTATGGGAGATTGTTTGTACTTTCATTTGACCGGAAGTTCGCAACAATGCAAATTGACAACAACGCCCCCTACCACCGCTTTAAAAAAAAAAAATATTTTAGAAATTGGTACAGGAAATATTTACAGCCACATTTCGCCTCTTGTCGATGTGTTCGTAGATCTTGCTGTCCACCTCGCTGCATTTCGTTACTGTTGCTGATCTTTTTGTTGTTGTTATGATTATAGCGATTGTTATCTGTGTCTTGTTTCTGGATGGCCGATGGTCTTATCTCGCATTGTGGGACTTGTACCGCGGTATTTCCTTTTTCTACTTTGTCGATCGTATTATTGCGCGTAAATAAACAAATACAAAAAAAAACACAATACACAGTTGCAATCCCTGTAAATAACTTTTGGTGGCATTCCAGAGAAGTTCACGCGGCCCCGATTGTCCGTATCACTTCGCGATATATAGTGTTTTACGGCTTACAAGTCGCACTTCCCGTATAAACGGGGGATTTCGCAAAGCTATGTAAGTCGCGCAAAATATATATATGTGTACTGTACGGTGAAATATAAATTCGGCCACCGATCCCCGCCATGTGTACGGTTGGCGCGGCGAAACTCAACTGAGAAGCCTGGTGATATTGTCACGAATGACAAGTGATGAGGCAACGAAAACTGAAGTAAACTAAACGTTTAATGGGGCGAACTTGTGCCCAAAACAAAAAGGAAGCAGAAGATAACAATAGAGCGTCGCAGGCGTCGAAGTCGGCGTAAGAGCGGAATTGAACGCTGGGGCGAGACCACTGATCTCTATTGTAGTAGGCTGGAACGCGGACCGCGGCCTCGGCAGCTGGGGCCGAGCGTCGCCACCGGCGGCCATTCATTGACCCCACAAAAATGCATGGGTCTCTATGGGAAAAACAAGAAAAAGTGCCGTTTCCCCCGTTTCGAAGCTGTTGTTGGCATTGAAACGTTTTGGAAGCTTTTCGATAAGCCCGTCAAATAGCTTGCGTACAACTATTAAAACTGACAGCACTCACAGTTCTCATAAATAAATATTGTGCGGTCGAGAGTGACTCAATGTAGTGCAGCTCAATGAGGCGAGAGTTACCTAGAGTTACCGCGGAGTCTGTGGCGGTTTCGTTGAGTTGGGTTTAGCAGACGACAAGCTCCAAGGCTTTGCGACGCGGAATTCGCTCGCTCCTGGAAAGCCGCTGTCGAGATGGAACTTCTTTGTCATTTATCAACTTCTGGGCTAACCCGAGGACGGTCTCATTGACGGCAAGTTCCTTTGTTTACTCCACTACGAGAGCAAGCCCGCCAGGTCAGCCGTAGGTGCTCCGGTACGTTTGATTTTTTTAGTCGGCGTTTGAACGTTTGATGAATACCGATTTGATCTCCAAACACCCGACATAAGGATCGCAACACCATAAAATACTTGCCCCCGAGCACAGCGTACATGTTTCAATATTCTTACTTTTGTGCTTTCCTCCCATAGACTTGCGTGTATAGGTTGTTTGCACATGACGTCAATCCTCCATTTTGTTGTTAGTATGCTTTTTCAAACCAATTTACTACTTTGAAGGATTACATCATAACCGGTTGAGATGATGACAGCGTGGTAAGACATAAGCTTCTAGGCTCAACGCATTTTAGAGGTAATGTAAATCTTTGGAATGCTCGAGTTTGGCACACGCCAGACAGCTCACAACAACAAAATGGTGAACGAAATTACGTCAGTGAAAACACCCTACTGCCTGGTGTCAAGCAATGGCCGCCGGTGGCGACAACGAAGGGCTCCCGATCCGTGATCCAAATAACTAGAATAGAGATCAGTGGGCGAGACTGACTCGACAAGGTCGCGGGCGGCCTCTTATCTAGAGTGCGTCACTATCTCGAAGATTCGGCGAAGAAGGCTCGAGCGTCGCGCGTTCGGGGCGAGAATGAACAAGCACTTTCCCGAACAACGGAAGCAAGAATAAATGATAGAAGTTATGTCCGGAGCAAGAATAAACGTGAACCTTCTATACTTTGTTTCAGCTTCGGTCCGAGCGCGGCCGATGTTATGAGCAGAAGGGCCAATCAAACAGCCCAAAAAGCACAGCGTCATGGCGTGCTCTCTGCGTTTGATAGGACTAGCCGGCGGAGGAGCGCGCACAGAGAGATTGCGAATACCGGCTAGTCCTATCAACTGCAGAGAGCATGCCATGACGTTGTGCCTCTTTCGCTGTTTGACTGGCCCTTCGGCTCATAACATCGGCCGCGCTCGGACCGAAGCTGAAACGAAGTATAGAAGTCCGTGACCGAGCGTTGCTTTCTCGGCTCTGCACACGACCTATAGGGGGCGCGCTGGCGCCTATCAAAATGGCTGTCATCTGGACGATCGTCGTAGAACAGCACTACGAGGCGGGGTCTGCGACGCGTAAGTAATTCTAGTTCTGCTTTCT